GTTGTACTGTGGTGGCAAGCATCCATTGAAGTTTGTGAACTTAGTTGAAAGTCTCAAGTGTGATCTTGAGGATTGAACATAGGCCAAGTTTATGGCTAAACTAGTATAAATCTCGATGTGTTTCATTTTCTTCCTTCACACTTCAGTTCTTTACTCTTTTCAACTTTTTCAAAAGTTTTTAAGTGTCATCCAATTCACCCCCTTCTTGAGTGCTAGTCTATCCTAACATACATGAAATGACACTACACAAAATGCAAATGAACACAAGGTGACAATTCTAGTGTGCATACACAAGGGTATTTTGCGTGAATTAGAGCACAAAAACTTCATCAAGGCATCAGACAAACACAGGTGATAAATCATGCATGAATCATTACTAATTCAGGCGTGAAACATCAATCAATGTGCCTAAAATGACAAATCATAGGTGGAACCATTTCAAGTCACACGTGAAACATCATGCAATGAAAAACTCAATTTCTATAATCCACTTCTTGTTAGAATGACATAACTCCAAGCTTGAATTGACTAAGATAAGTCATAATATGCACAAATATGACTTATAAACCTAAGATGATGCATTCATTTTAAAGTTGATAACATGTGATTAAGCTTTCATAATTTTCACATTAAATCTAAGAGAAATAAATAACTTATCCTATAAAATATTCTTCTTCTCTTGATTCTTCATATTCTTGAAGGTTTTGTCTCATCCATGAATCTTTATATGATATACACATAATACACACCTCTTCTCTTAAGTTTGTAATCATTAAAATATATGATTCAACATTATACTTACTATGATTTTAAGTATCTTTAAGTATTTATATATCATTAATCTTTTTTGAAATAATTTTTTGAATCCCATTACTCTTAATACTTTCAAGTTATTTGAGAATTAACCTTAGCCAAGGCTAATTCTTAGTTTTAATGATTGGTTTAATTAATTAAATTTATAATTGATTAATGATGAATGTCATTACACCATTCATACTTTAGATTGTATAAATTTAATATTAATATTTTTAAAATTCTATAAATTAACTATCCAAAATTATTCTTGATAGTCCATATTTAATAATAAAGTTTTAATAATTTTTATAAAATTTTATTTTAATAAATACAATATTAAAAAAAAGAGCTCTCCCAATTTTACTTTAAATTACAAGTTAAATTTTTTAATTTTTTATAGTCCAGATTAAATCTATGTATACAAATTATAAAAATATTAATATTAAATTTAGATTGTTCAGATTAAATATATAATTTTTAGACTCATGATGAATAAATTTATTAAAAGTTTTATAAATTTTTAATTTAATAAAAATACAAAACAAATATAAAAAATTTTAGATCTAAGCCATCTAGATTAAATTTGGATAATCTGTTAAATATGACAATACACCCAAGAGAGAGGTAAATTTGGTGTTAAAGGAGTTTTTGGTTCTTTTGAAACTTTTCTGTAAAATTGTGTTAAAAAAAAAAGTCTAGACAAATTTAAGTTCTAAACTTTGTGTATCAGAATGCTAAAGTTATTCTTGCAAACTCAACATGTGTACAAATGTTTGGAAACAATTTTAAGTGCAAGTTCGAATAAATGCATGTAAATATATCAAATTATATTTTAGATACTAAAACATAACATAAATTAAGATTGCTAGAAATATAAAGAGTTAAGGGAAGAGAGAGTGCAAACTATGATTTATCCTAATTCGACTTTTTCACTTGAGCCTACATTCAGTTCTCAAGCAATTACTTAAGACTTCTTCACTATAACACAAATTTAGGTGGGTGTTTGCCACCACAATACAATCACAAGTTTAGTTTGGGTACTCGTGAGCCTTTACAACAACTTACTTTGCTAGTGAGCTTCTTTTTCTAAGAGAACAACATCTCTTGATTGCAAGGAAAATCTCTCCCTCACCTTTACAATGATTTTGATTATGTAAATCATTTAGTTAAAACTCTTTTTAAGAGTAATGATGAGTAAAATAAAGTTGTAATACTCAAATAATGAAGATATAGATAATATTAGCTCAAAAACAATGATTTTCATACAATAAGAGTAATATGAACATGAATTTCATATCTTACTAACTTCTGAGGTTAATCATTTATTGAGATGAGTTTAGAATGAAATAAGTGTTAGAGACATTATATGACAGTTTATAGTTGTTGCATAGTAATTATAGCCATTGGTTATATTTCTCGTGTAGAACTAAGGCTTATTCAACCGTATTTTGGAGCTTTTACAAGCAAAGGTGACAAATCTCACTTAAGACATGACAAATCATGCTTGAAACGTCATGTGATATTGTCCAGATGACAAATCACACGTGGATGAGAAGTGTTTGACGCGTGTTTTGGACTATAGATGCTATTGAATGAAAAACAAGACTTTGGAGGATGTTTCACGCATGTTTTGGAAGTGCTTTACGCTTGTTTTGGACAATAGAGGCTATTCAGTAAGAAACAAGGCTTTTGGGTGACATTTTACATATGTGTACAAGGTGATTCATGCGTGATTTGGACATTGAGGCTATATCAAGACGAATCACGCGTGTGACTCAGATGTAACCACGTGTGTTTTAGAGGGTTCCACTATACATAAATTCATAAGATCTTAAATATACAACGTCAAATCTGAAAATTATATATCGTTGGAAAGCTTTTGAAGTCTAGTTTTTAATGAAAAAAGTTTCGCACTTAAACTCAATGTAACTTTTAAGATATGATCAAAAGAGTGAATGAAGGTCAAGGCTAAATGCTGTGAAGAATCAATATCTCAATACTCAACTTCTAAAATTCATATCTTTCTCAATAAATTTTTTTTTTGAATAAATAAACTATTATTGAATTGAAAAGCTATTGGAGTCTATTTTTAAATGAGATATGTTTCACATTAAAATAATCTATGTAGTAAGAGATATGATAAAAACATGACCAAAGGTCAAAACTGATTTTCTACACAATTGTCATTTCGAAGTTTAGAATTTAAGTATTTATAACTTTTTAAACTTAACTCCACTTTGAGTAAATAGAACAACTTTGAAGACTTTATGGAGTTAGTAATCAAAACATTTAAAAAGTTTGTGAGATATATATGATTAAAGATGAAGAAATGATTATAGAAAAATATATTTTAATCTTTCTTTTAACAGTTAAAATGCATGTTTTTATTTAAAATATCTTAAGTCGATATTGTATATCTAAATTAATGAGTTTAACATAAAAATTTCTAATCTAATGATATTATACCTATCGAGTTCAAGGCTTCCAAGGTGCATTCAAGGTTGTATAAATGTCTTCATTATTCTTAAGCTCTTCTTGGATTATCATTCTCTTTATCTTTCTGTTATTCAATCATGAGTGTAGCATGTAAATGATGACTTCAACTTTGTTCCTCTTCATGCTTACTCTCCATTTTACTTTGGACAACCTTAAATGATATATCATAAATAAAATGATTAGTTTAAGTATCAATATGCATATATCCAAGTTATGAAAGATAACACTATGAACACTCCTAGATATATAATCAATTTAAGTTAAGAAAAAATATGATAGTATAAAATAACTTTGATGCATGCAAATCATTTTTTCAAATCTCATGTAATATAAAACAACATAAGTAAAAATAATTGGGGATAAATCAAAACTTAAGCTAAGCATAATGTCACAAGCCATTATGTCCAACATATTCCAGATCATATCATAGGTGATGAACACTTTGTGCTTCTCATATATGTGAGTATTTAAAGATTTTACAGATTTGAAATAAATTTTACAAATTTAAAAATAAAAATAAAATAAAAATATGAATTTTATGTTTTTAGATGTTTGAAATAAATTTAACATTAACCTCTTTCTCCTACACCATTTGGATTTTAGTTAGATATAATTGATTATGAAAATAATTAATTAACATGGTTGATTTTAATTATAATTAATTATGTTAAAATGCAACATATTTGAATACTGTTTTTCTAAAATTAATTTTAATAAAATTAAAGATATTTGAATAATTTAGTAAGAATTAATTTTAGCTATATAAATTACGATAAAAGACATTGCTAGTCAAAATTAAATTATTGATAAATTTGTATTTAATATTATTAAAGTTGTTAAATTTTACTTAATATAAAAATGAATTATTGACAAATTATTTATTATTAATATGGGAAAATGAGAATCAAATAAGCAGGTTTAGATAGCTAAATTAAAAAAAAAATTGATTTTAACCTCATTAATAGATTATTTCATGGATATGCTGCTTGGGTACTTTTATTTTAAAAATTGATTTCCTCCCCAAAAAAAATCGATTAATGAGGCTAACTAAACAGGCAGAAGATCATCAAGCAAACACGATTCTACTTCCCCCTTACTGCGCACAATTTATGGGATGGGATCCAAATGCCGGATAATTTCTCGATGATGGCAAAAATGAAATGAAAAATTCCATTAAATATTAACTTGTTGGATCAGTTAGTCAAAAAAATAAAGATAAATATAATTTTTGATCTCCATATTTTATTTAAGTTTTGCTTTTAGTTCTTATTTTTTTTGATATTTTAAGTCTCACATTTTTGTTTTTTATTGTTCTAAGTCCTTCCAAGATATTTTGCTCATTGGGGGATTGAAAATAATAAAAAATAAAAATATAAAGATTTAAAACACTTAAAAAAATATAAAAATTAAAAATAAAATATGAGTAAAATATAAAGATTAAAAGTTATATTTATCTAAAAAATAAAATCAAAACAAAAACTTGTCTGATTAAATTACTCTAATAATTGAAATCTGGACCTTTGACCATCCACCTAGGGATGGATTTAGAAGCAAACGTGTGGGAGGGCCAAAATGTCAAATTCCTTAATAGTGAGGGAAATTAATTTTAACATTTTTTACAAGTAAAAACCAAGTAAATTTTGCGAAAAATTTTGTCGCATTAACCCAAGCACCTACCCCCTCCCAAACAAAATCCGTCCCTGCAACTACCCCTCTCAATTTGGAGGCACGGGATGATAAGAGGGGAAAGGCTTTTTGTTCTGATACGTGCGTGCATCTTTCCTGTGTAAAATATATCGATCCAGTTTTCATTGGGAAAAAAAGAAAGGGCGTCCTGCCCCAAATGGGTTTCAACTGGCATTTGATTCTATCGAACCACCAAAAGATTCATGATATGTCGAATCCATTTGAGAGATATAAAAAACTACGCCTGCCAGAGTTTCTTCCCAAAATCTACAGTTACCCAATTGCCTGCGAAGAGCTTAGCTCAATTCTCAGGGACGCCTACGACAAGCTCCCCAAAAATTTGCAGGCTATTATCTTCCAAGACATCCTTACAGCCTTCAGTCTCCTGCCGGAGTAAGCCTTTCATCGCCAATCCTCAATTTTGCCCCATTTACTGTCGATTTTTTCCGGTTCGAGCATTATCTCTGTTTCAACCAAACGTTAGATTGAACCTAGTGTTGTTATGGTTGAGTGCCGAACATCCTAACCATCGAGTCCCAAATCTATGCGGTTCTAGGTTTGTCTACTTTGGCACCTAATTTTATATTTATTATAGGTGCTATTGGCTAGTGCTATCAGGGTTAATAATACAGTGAACGATTATGACATAACCTAACAATCTGGATATGGATGGTTGAAAGCCTTAGACCTTCTTGGAAAACTAAACTACAGAGGAGAGGACACCTTTAAGTTCGTGCTCCAATTTTTGCTTACCATTTATTTATGAAACCTGTTTAAGTGCCTTATCTGAAATCATATTTTTTGGTCGTCATCAAGGCATTTTGTTCATGGAAGGAGTAGTGTCAGTGCTTTGTATTAGGGACTGCCTTGCGCTTTCGATTACATCACATTTGTTTTGGATGGTAAGGGAGCATGATTTCTTCTAATGTGATTAGAGGTAATAATTTAGTGAATAAAATTGAATGACAGATATCTGTGAACATAATTAAAAGTGTCTGGAACTTCTTTTGCCATAAATGCTGAAGAAGACATGGCACCTTAAGTTCACGGTCCAATTTTTATTAATTATAAACAATAGATAACCCCTTATTGGTCTCTTTCTTAAGTTTATGGATTTATTTTTTCCTCTGTCCATCATATTTGGTATATTCAGAATGTAATCATTGTTTTGCTTGAGTAAAAAAGGATCAAACTATGATATCATTGTAATACGTAATATACGATATGCCACCAACAATCATAACTAAAATTCATCTTGTTTCTTTGTCTTGTATAGCCTATTTCAGTTCGCCCTGGTAGAAAGTTTTCATATTCTCTCAGATGATGGAGCGGGTTAAAAAGTGAGGCATTTGGATTGTTGAGATTGTTTTAAATTTCAATCTTCATCTTTTTTGACTTCGGGACAAAGTTCGAATGAAGTTTCAGTGATAATAAGAGTCATATGCCTTGATTAATGTGTTCTGCTGTTTGGACTATGATAACTAGCTTGTTAGCAGATAATTGGACTTCTTACAGTAGTGAATAAGTCTGTCTAATGCTGCTGTTTTTTTGGTTTATACTCTAATAAGATTCCATTAAAAACTTATTCAAGAAAGAAGCAACAGAAGATAAATTGAATCTTATTTTATTGTTTTGTTATTATTTGGTTTGAGTTTGGATTATTTAGGATAGATTTCAAGAGATTTTATTTAGATATTTAGCTCTTAGACTTTATTTATATTTTATTTAAATTTTAAGATATCGATTTTAGGATATTTTATTCAGTTTTTATTTAATTATCTCATTATCTAGATTTCATTTAGTATTTTTGATTATATTTGGCTTTATACATATGTCTAGCAACTCAAAAGCTGGCATATCATTAATAAAACAAACTTTAAAACCTTTTGAAAATTCTCTTATTGAGAGAAATATTGAACGAGATTATTGTTCTATACTATTTTAGTACATTTGTTCTTCCTATTTCCTTTTGTTGTTTTGAGCATCTAACATACTCCCTTGGTAACTAATTACAAGAGACAATTTTGAGGGTTATGGTGTCTCTAAGTACAAGGTACTTCACTAGGCTTTTGAAGTAATGAAAATATTTTTGCTGAAATGCCCAATAAATTGACAAACTTTTAAATGAACACAAATGGATAGAAGATGATGACAATTAATTGTGGGCAAACTTGGAAAAAAGAGTAAATTTTTAGGCATCAACTAAATTAAATTTAATTGTTTTCTTGGTATCTATGAATTAGGTAATTGTTTTTTATATTTAGGGTTGAAGGGAATACTATCAAATGGCATTGAATTATACTTATAATTCATTTTCTGCTTGTTATCATATTTGATTAACATTTATTCGTTTTGGAGGTCTCAAGTTTAAATCTCAATGGGAGTGTTTCAGATAAGATTTATTGGAAATTGTTTTGGGAAATAATAGTTAATAGAGTTTTCCCCCAAAACAGTATATATATGGTTGGAACTAGGAAGGGGACTTTTGTTTTTTGTGGTAGCAATTCCAATTTTCATACAATTACAACTATATCCTCTATTGTTCCTTGGCACTAATAACTACAGAAGGAGTAGAAATGGCTATGACATTGATAGAGATATGGGATACTAAATCTCACATTGAATAGATGAAATGCTCAATGTGGTATTTAAGTAGGTTAGTTCTCACTGCTCAACAACCAACTTTTGGGGGAGGGTTTTCTATCCTATTTAGGTACCCATTAGTTGGTACCAAAGACAGGTTGTTAGCGGACCTAGAGAGGGCTTTCCACAAAGGGTTCTTCTTGGCAAGAGGCCAACTTAAGTGCCATGAAGTGTAGCCATTGGGATGTCAGTCCATGGGAGCCAATTAATGGAGACTTGGTAGTGTGAGATACAAATCCCACACTGAGTTTTATGGAGTTCAATGGGGGTATTTAAGTGAGTTAGTTCTCCCATTTCAATAGCTAGCTTTTGGGGTAGAGTTTTCCATCCATTTAGGTACCCATCAAACATTCATTCCATATTACCTCTTTTTAATAATAATTAATAATTAATATCTGAGAGACAAAACTAACAAGGATAAGTGTTTGTTTTAGAAGTGGGTGGCTAAGAGTCTGATGCTACTTATAGTCATCTGCTATGTGATTTCGAGTTGATAATCTGAATAAAACTGTCAACATGAGCCTCTTTGACTCATTATTCATTAATTCTTAAATGCTATCTAATTGCAGAATCCAGACCCAACGTGCTGTTTCATCAGCGCATCTACTTGTGCAGAGTGTAGAAGTTGCACTGCCAAAGCAAAAGAGGGATATGGCTGTCAAAGAATTTAAGCATGCAATTGTTGCTCATAAGAGGCGCTGTAAAGCTAAACAGGGAGGGAAAGGTTAGATTACATTTTAATTATTCTGCATAATTTCATTGTTTTAACCAAGTAAATCTAAAATGAGTTTCTGTCAGGTTCTACCCAACTGCCACATGATATTTTAATGCACATCTTCAGCTTTTTAGATATGAAATCTTTAGTCTCTGTGGGACTAGTCTGCTGGTAAGACTTCTTCCTTTATGTTAATGGTATACCATCATCCAGAATGAGTTTAAAATCCGGACACATTTGACTATCTTCTCTGGTTCATGTTATTCACTTAAGAAAGCTAGGTTTACAAGATAAAAGGCATGGAAAGTTTAACCCAAGCAAATCTAAAGGACCACATATCTAAAATAATTATAGATTATTGAAAGCATGCAAGGAGAGATTTTCAGTAATAGGCTGTCAGAATTTTGTTTATTAGTGCCAGAACACATGTATCACGGTTGAGGTGACAAGCAAGCCTCACATAGGCAATTATCTAGGGTAAATCTAATTTGATATACTATCTAATCTAATAACAGAATCTTACGCATTAAATATTATTTGGTAAAACTGTAAAATATAATTAAATAAATAGCATAACAAAGCAAATATAGCATTAAAAAGAATTTGAATAAGCAAGTGACTTCCAACAATCCTCTTCAACATGAGATTTCAAGTTGGTGAACGAATATTGATCTTTCCCAACTCACTACTTGATGCTTCAAATGGGCCTCATTTTGAAAAACAAGGTAATAATAAGTAATTCCTGACAAACATAATAAGATATTCACATTAATTACACTATCTCTACACTTCTCCTCAAGTTAGATCATAAAGGCTAATTATGTCCAACTTGCTTATGCAACTCTCATATGCTAGGATAAGTAACCCCTTAGTCAATAAATCTGCAGCTTGAAGATTGGTAGGCAAACAAGTCAAACATGCGGTTCTTTCTTCCACTTTTTTTTTTTTTTTTTTTGATGAAATGTTTATCCACCTTCACATGTCTGGATTTCTCATGTTGAGCTGGATTCAAGGCCATGCTTATAACTGCCTTATTGTAAAAATAGAGTTTTAGTGTAAGTCCACTTTGATATGTATCTCTTCTTGGACTATTTTAGCTACAATTCTTCCGTTATTCCTAGAGCCAACACTCTTTAATTCAGATTTAGCACTGCTCGTAGGAACAACTCTTTGCTTTTGACTTTTCTGGGTAACTAGATCTCCCCACACAAAAGAACAATAGCCAAAGGTTGATCTTCTGTTAGGATGAGTTCTTCCCTAGTATGCATCTATGTATACCTCTATAGTTCCCTATTCTTGTTTCTAGAAGAATATTCCTCCACTAGGAATACCTTTCAGGGACTTCAAAATCTTGTAAGCTGCCTCCATATGATTATTCTTTGGCTTAGACATGTGTTGGCTGGCTAAACTTATTGTAAAAGCAATATTCGTTCTTGTATGGGAGAGATAAATCAACTTCCCAATAAGTCTCTAATATCTTTCTATTTCAACGGCCTCTTCTTTCTCATTGTCTTCCTCTTCAACTTCATCATTAGAATTGTCTTCTTTTGACTCTTGTTTGTTGTTCTTCTTGGGCTTCTTTTTCTTTGAAACTAGACAAGAGTTTCAATAGGCTTACAACCAACAAACATGTTTCCTTTAGAAGATCAAGTACATACTTCTTTTGAGATAAATAAATAGCTGTCTTGGATTTTGCAACTTCCATACCAAGGAAGTATTTCAAGTTGCCGAGGTCATTGACCTTAAATTCTTTTCCAAGAGTAGTATTTACTCTTGCCATTTCCTCAAAATGGTCACCTTTGATAATTATGTTTTCAGCATACACAATGAGAATGCACCTCTTACCTCCCTCAACTTTAACAAACATCATGTGGTCTAACTATCCTCCTTTCTTGTAGCCTTCTAGCTTTTGGACTTTCAAGAACCTATCAAATCATGCTCTAAGGGATTACTTCAAGCCATATAGAGATTTCTTTAACTTGCATGCTTGAATGCTTCTTTCATTACCAAATCCCGAATGTAGAGTCAAGTAAACTTCTCTTAATTCTTCGTTTAGGAAGGCTTTTGGATGTCTAGTTGATGAAGGGGCTATTCTAGTTGATTGCCACAGAAAATAGAACGTTAATGGTGTTCAATTTTGCCACTTATGTAAAGGTTTCTTCATAGTCAAAGCCATATGTCTGAGCGAATCCTCTTGGTACCTCATGTGTTTTTAACTTGTCAAGAGTGCCATCGGCCTCATATTTTGGGGTAAAGACCAACTTGCAACTTACAAGTTTCTTGCCACTAGACCTTTGAATAAGCTCCCATGTTTCATTCGTCTTTAAAGCTCTCATTTTCTCAATAGCTACATTTCTTCATTCTAGTTTCTTCATTGCCTCTTGAATGTTGTTAAGAATGTCAACTTTATCTAGATTAGCAACAATGGCCTGATAAATTGGGAGAGAGGGCCTTGTAGGACTTATGCTTTTGAATTAGATGTAAAGCACAAGAACAAGGTTGTTTCTTGAGAGTAGTGGGTAAATCAAGGTGAGATTCACCATGAACCTGTTCAAGGATTTGAGAAGGTGGCTTTAGAGTATGTTCTTTAGGAACTACTACTGGTAAATCAAATAGTCCTTGCCGTTGCTTTGATGCCATGTGGTAGGGAATGATTCTTCTATATTTTATTCAACTCAAATGAGAAATATATACAGAAAATACAATCTTCCCAATTAATTTTGTGGTGCTGAAAATCGGGGGGAAGGGATGTTATCCAACAATAATCACATTAAATACAAATATATACAAAAATAAATCTAGGATTCTCATAATAGCAAGAGATTAAAAGCTAATCAAGACTACTAAATGCTATACAATCACATCTTGATCTCTAGCATTTTCTTCTAGAATATTTACAACAAAAGCAAAAATATTTCCACAGAAAGGCATCAAAGGTTAGTAGGCTAATGAATTTATTTCTCTCTCATGAGACCCAACATAGCCTTTGCAATAGTGTGGCTAGTCAAAATGAGCTCACCAAGTAAGCTTTGCAAACAAGTTGGACACGAGGGGCGTATATGATCCAACATGAAGGACTATGGCTTGACCAAGTATTTATTATTATTATTATTATTTGTTATAATTAGATGTAAATACTCCAGAGTCGTAGGGATAGCTATTGAGTAGCACATAGGATATTCTCCTTTATTTGTGGTAATCTCTCACAGCTTCTCTCTCCTATGTTTATATTCTATTGACCAAAGTTAATAATATGTTGATCTCCTTTGTACTAAGGTACTGAAAATCGGACCAGTCATTGAACTGAGCAAAGTAGTGGTTTAAGAGTTAGTGGTTCAAGCAAGGGTCAGCCAAGAGTCAGATCAATCATGATTAAAATAATATATTTTAATTTAAATATTAAAAAAATATTCATATTTAACTATGAAAAGAGTAATATTTAAACAAAAAGGTTCTTAGTTCTCAAATAAATGAAAAGATCATCCATAAAATTTTAGAAATGTCTTACACAAATATTAATTATAAGTTTCTGACAATAGTAAAATATGACAACATAAAAAATAATAATTAAGGAATTTAGATTTGATTTAGGGTTTGATATTTAGAAGAGAAAATGGCAAAAAGAAAGAAGGGGAAAAAAAACTAGGTCAACCCATTTAATCTTCCAGGTTGACCAAGCCACAATGTGACCAATTTGTTCGATCAACCAGACTGGCCAAGTAACCGGTTTATGGGTCAACCTTGTCGGGTTGGTCTAATTTTACAGGCAATGCATTGTACATTTGGATATCCAGGGGGTTATAGTAAGAACTACACTTCCTTAATTGAGAGTAGTCAACATGGCTCTGATTACAGCATTACTATATGACTTGAAGGTAGTATTTAACAAAGCAACCCTGGCTGTAGTTGCCATATCTTTTCTTCCATGAAAGGTAAGGATAAGGCGAATAGCTCCAACATGAATGTGGGTGTAATCCTGGTTGATCCATCCATCAATCAGGGGTTGAGCAATCTCAAGAGTGATGTACTCTTTAGCGGTGGTAGCAAGAATGCCACACTGATCCATACTAGAGGTTTAGATTACCTCTTTAGGCTGTGGTCAGTTTGAGTGAATTAAAGTTATGATACATTGAGTAAAAGAGTAGGGGTTAAGGAAAGGAAATTGGGTGGTTGGAATACAAGCATCTTCAGGAACAACAGTATATTCTATAAGGTTTTTTATTATTTTGGGAAGGGGTTCTTTTTATGGTGGAAAGAAGACGTTCAAAAGAAAAGGCTGAAGAAAGGCAAATAGGGTCAAGAACTGTGGTAGAGGTTTTTGACGAAGAGCTTTCTGGAAATCCACTCATATTTTTTAGAAGTTCTCTTTATTCATTGTTATCAATAATATCAAGTTTCTGTCATGGGACTGGCTCTTATACCAAAGGGGCGAGCTCATGCGTGTTAGTCCAAGAGATCCTTGTCTTATTGCTATAGGGCATATTGATCTAGGTAAGGCCTCTCAACGCCTCTCCTGGGCAAACTTAGGCCACTTTAGGATTTTTAATCCTTGGACACTTTAACCAGAGAATCTCTGAGCGTAGTGACATGGGCTTACACACTCATAGATCGTTGGTAGGATTCTTTCTAGTACATAGGTTCCTCAAAGGGGCAAGTGTAGAGCATACTTGAATCTTTGTATGAAAGAAACAAGATATTAAAGAATCAAGCTTTCAGGAGGGGGAGAGAGAGTTCAGTGAGACATGATTGAAGAACACAGGTTTTTTTCCCAAATTAATTTTTCCTTACAAGCAAACTAAAACCTCCTTATATAGATATGGTATGGAGGATCAGGACAAATGGTGCATGACTTTTAGTGGGCAAACTTTTATCACATGCCTAGTTATTTTAGACAAAGTAAAGGTAAAAGCAAGACAACATGACTAAAAACAAACTGCTTACTCAGAATTGTACTAACTATAGAGGGATTAAGCTCATGAGCCACACAATGAAATTGTGGGAGAAAGTAATTAAGTACAAGTTGAGATTGAAGACAAGTATTTCTGAGAATCAGTTTGGTTTTATGTTAGGGAGATCAACTATAGAGGTGATTTATCTACTAAGGGGATTAATGGAAAAGTATCGTTGTAAAGATAAAGATCTACACATGGTTTTTATTGATTTGGAAAAAG